AAACATTTAATAATAATTTTATTTTTTAATCTATACTTGCAAACAAATTGAATAATTCTATATCAATAAAAAATGTTTCTTTATTTAGTTTCGCATATTTAAAGAAAATTATTTAAAGAATTATTTAAAGAAAATTTGAATTATATATTTAATCGCATACGCTTTAATAAATGAATAATAGCATTGAAAAAAAATTTATTTACAAAAAGATGAGAAATATAATTCGTTTTTATAATGTGTAAAAAAAGTCATTCTTGATTCAGATTCGTGCTTTTATCTGATTTTTCATTTTTTTCCATTACTTACTGAAGCTATATTTTTTGAATTATTTGAGACTGTGTAAAGTAAATTATCTTTTAACAGGAGCGTTGATCCATATTTATAATATTTCTTCAACATATAAATACGTGGGAGTAAGGATTAGTCATTTCCAACACTGCTCATTAAGCCGCGCGCCGCGAATGAACGCCACGATTAACGTATTAAACTGTCGTCATAATATCTAAATAACGATGCGACTTCATTAGGCGTCGCGCAACCGTTCTCCTGTGCTCGATTATGCATACAAATTAGACGAAGGGAAACTTGATATATATCATAAAATAAAATATAAAATAATATAATATATAAAACTCTGACAAGCTTTTTTATATTATATCATATACCGTTACTTTAGTTTATTTTATTTAACATAATAAAAAACTCTCAAAAAAATTATTTGTACAAGAATACATATTTTGTCTATATACTATTTGCGCAATATAACCAGTATAGAAAGTTTTCCAATTAAAAATAAAAATAAAATATCAAATAAATATAGAATAATAAATTAAAGAAAAAAAAAAATTATTTCTACAATTATGTTATGTATTCCGTAAACATCTCGTAAGTGTTATTATTATAAGTTTATTTTTTAACGTAAATAAAAATATTTTCTTAAATTAATATCGCGTTTATCAGCATCGATGTGTTTCGGAGAGATTTCATAGCGAGCGTGGCCGCTTTTGAATTTCTCGCAATAAAAAAGATAAGATAAGAAAAAAATCTCCCTCGATAAGAAAAAAGACAAAATGCTCCATATGCCCAGCACGAAGAGGGGAGAATGGAGGAAAATGGAGCAGAGAGATCTTTGCGTATTGTCTTCTTTGACGGATGCACCCCGCGGTTACCGTCGATCCGCGATAAGGGAACGCGCGCGCTGAGGAACCGTTAATAATTTTTACGACACTCTTAACTCGCCACCCGGTATTAAGCGGTCCTCCGTAGGAGACGGGCTTTGATCTTCGCCGACGCCCGGTGTATCGGCTTAATGAATGCGGGAGCGAGATAGCGCGATTGAGTCACAGCGCGCGCGCGCGCGCGTGACGCGCGTGTGACGCGCGTGTGAAAAAGTACCAGCGATCGCCTGTGGAACCGCTTCTGTTTGCCGCGGATACACGGATGCGCGCCGCGTCGCATAATCCCAGGCGCGACGCTGTGCCAGGAGACGTAAAGAGAAGAAAAAAAAACGAGGACAACCTCGCGTTTCTCGCGTGTTCCGGAGACGTCAGGAAAGGAAAAAAATCGAAGGCGCACGGCAGTGGACACGAACCTCTGTGCACACGAATGACATTGACATGTTCAGTTATTCAAATCGACTCTGACTCTCTCTCTCTCTCTCTCTCTCTCTCTCTCTCTCTCTCTCTCTCTCTCTCTCTCTCTCTCTCTCTCTCTCTCTCTCGAATTAACTTGGTAATATTTGAGATATATGCCGATAATTGACATAATAATTTAATTATTTATACGTTTATTTTTTATATTTATATTTTTTATATTGTATACTTGATTGTTTTAATTTAATTTTAGAAGACGTGTTTCTCAGGACGTATATCGATGTGATCGTATAAATATAATGCGCGCAATCAGAATAAGTAAAGAAAACAAAATGGTTTTAATACCCTTCATTAAAGCTATTTAATCCAATCGATAACTTTAATAACTCCTTACATTCTAATTTAATTTCAGTAAAGAGGTTCAACACAGGTCAATATAA